CTAAGAAGACAGACAAACAGACAGACGTACGATAATTTTAATCATTAATGCTTAGCTTATTTTTATAGACAACTTGAACGTTATTATTTTTATCTGTTAAAATGTTAAAAAATTACTAAACTGAATTAAAGTGAAGAAATAAAACAAAATACGTAACATAAAATACTTAAATATTAATTTATTTGTAAATAATAACATAGTTTAGTAAAATAGATATTTGAAAGAAACAAAAATAACAATAGTTTAGAATTATGTTATAATAATAAAATGCACTAAACTAACCTCGTCAAGGAGACAGTTTACTAAACCAGTTACGTTTAGACCTAAAACACCAAGAACAATTAAAAGAATTAAGATTAAGATTATTTAGTGCCTGACCCACCGTCTCCAAACATTGAAATCATACCTGAAAGTAACTGTTTTGAACCCTCTTCAATTATGCCTTTGCCTTGCTTTCCTGCAGCAAACGAAACATTTTTCTTTATTTCTTTCTTCGACGCTTCGCTGTTTTCTACGGTCGCAATTCCTTAAGTAAATAAATAAGTAATGTATAATTAACGAAAATTATACCTGTTAAATTAACAAATTTGATATATATTTGATAAAAAAAGTTTTCAGAACATTTAAAATGAAGAATGAAATAACTTTAATTTATTTAACTTGTTGTCAACAAGTAACATTATAGAAATTTCACATAGAATATAAGAAAACAACATTAGAAAATTAAACTTTAAGCATACAAAACTAAAAATATTAAATTATTAATTTGGATATATAAATATTATTAAAAATTGTTAGCTTACCGATAAGAACCACGAGAAAAAGGATGGTTTTCATGTTTGGAATTGGTTTCGGTTTGTTTCTCGCCGAAATATGCTTGCACGGCCGAACCTAATACTAAAAATTGCATTTATTCGAATAATTAAACACGAACAATTTTATGGAAGCAAAGTAGATGTAACTCGGGACTACACGCAAACACTTGTTAATAGACACCTGTTGTTTCCACGTGGATACGTTGGTAAGACCTGAATCTAAAAATTTCGATTTAAAATAATTTGAAAATTTAAAAATAATTTAAAATAAACTATAATTTTAAATTTAATAAATATAAAATAAATAAAACTAAATTTGAGAATTATTTATATTTACTAAGGTATAATGTAATATACAGCGTTAGAATTACTTCTAACCCTTCTATTAGAATTTTCAATATAAATATTTATAAAAAAACTGATAAAATATAAGCTTTATTCTTAATTATATTGCTGCTTTAGTAATGTAATTTAACACGAGAATAATAGAAACATCTGAGACAAGTATTCTAAACAACGTCATCAATGATGACACTAGCATACTGAGATAGTGTAATTTAAAATTATTTACAATAAATTAAGTTAAAATAAAGTATTTGAATAATTTCTACTTTTAAATACTTCATTATATCGTTTAGTATACTTTAAAAGATGTACAGTGTATTTAACACTGTCATGAACCTTTAAAACTAAAAGTGATGAAATACACGATAATATTTAAATATTAAAAAAATCTTAAATAGAAATTTCCACTTTGATCGAAAATAATGAGCTTTTAATGCATAAGAATATAAATTCTACAAATATAACAAATTAATAAGTTCACGTAAATCGCATACCAAATTAATTTTTGTGATAGAAAAAGAAAGGGTACGTGCAGTTATAAGGTATTTTAATCTCTCATTATTACATCGTCTCTCCCCCTAAATAAATCAACTTTGCACCCGAGTTTGAGAAAATAACGAAAAATAATAGACAATAAACGTAAACAAGTAAAGGGGTTTAAAACCTCTCAATATCGTCTTCGTATTTATCATTAATATGTAATAATTTACTTAATATTTAACGTAATTATATGTTTAAAACATTCATAAACTTGCAAAATATTTCAAATTTCATTTTCCTTTGAAATATAACTTATTTAAAATTATNATTACAGCGCCGCAGCACTGGCGAAAATTTAAATTTGCCGACTGGAATTCTTTCGGATGATTGACGTTTCGGATGATTGACTTTCGGAAAATCGACGCTCTACTGTATAACAAATTAATAAGTTTACGTAAATTGCATACCAAATTAATTTTTATGATAGAAATGGAAGGGGTACGTGCAGTTATAAGGTATTTTAATCTCTCATTATTACATCGTTTTTCCCCCTAAATACATCAACTTCGCATCCAAGTTTGAGAAGATAACAAAAAATAATAGACAATAAACATAAACAAGTAAAGGGGTTTAAAACCTCTTAATATTGTCCTCGTAGTTATCATTAAAATGTAATAATTTACTTAATATTTAACGTAATTATATGTTTAAAACATTCATAAACTTGCAAAATATTTCAAATTTCATTCTTTTTTGTAATATAACATATTTTATTAACTTTGAATGTAAAAAACACGATATAAATGTACTGTATTTATTATAGATAGTAATTAAAATTACTCTTAACACTTCTATTAAAATTATTTTCATTAANAATAAGTTTTTAATGCATAAGAATATAAATTCTACAAATACAACAAATTAATAAGTTCAGGGAAATCGCATACAAAATTATTTATAATAAGTTTTTTTTCATTTTTGTCATAGAAATGAAAGGGGTACGTGCAATTATAAAGTATTTTAATCCCTCATCATTACATCGTCTCTCTTCCTTATAGCTTAACTAAATACATTAACTTCACACCCGTGTTTGAGAAGATTACGAAAAACGATAGACAATAAACGTAAACAAGTGAAGGGGTTTAAAACCTCTCAATATCGTCCTCGTAGTTATCATTAAAATGTAATAATTTACTTAATATTTAACGTAATAATATGTTTAGAACATTCATAAACTTGCAAAATATTTCAAATTTCATTCTTTTTTGTAATATAACATATTTTATTAACTTTGAATGTAAAAATCTCGATATAAATATCCTTGTAGCTTATAAATATATAACCTGTAAGAAAAGAAGTTACTACCATTAATTAATCAATAGTAAATTCATTCCAGAAAAACAGAATTTATATTGACATTTGGTTCAAAGAGCCGCATGTGGCTCGCGAGCCGCAGGTTGGCCACCCCTGTAATAAAATATTTTATTAACTTTGAATGTAAAAATCTCGATATAAATATCCTTGTAGCTTATAAATATATAACCTGTAAGAAAAGAAGTTACTACCATTAATTAATCAATAGTAAATTCATTCCAGAAATACAGAATTTATATTGACATTTCCTTCAAAGAGCCGCATGTGGCTCGCGAGCCGCAGGTTGGCCACCCCTGTAATAAAATATTTTAGTAATTTCGAAGTAGAAATATAATAATTTTAAAAACGATAATAAATAAATATTTATGTCGTTTTAACGATATGAAGTTCGAGAAAAAATGTAATGGATGTGTGTGTGTCTGTCTGTGGCACGATTTTGTTTACTCTGTTCGAAGCTTAGTAAGGGCTGCACTTTTTGTCGAAAACTTTTGAAATTTTGCAAGATGGTTTCTTACATTAAGTGGTTTATTTTGTTTAATTTTGCTAGTTAAAGTGGGAAGAAATTAAGTAGTATATATCTACAGTTGGGTCAAACTTAATGACGAATTTACGCGTTATTAGCATTTACAATTTTTTTTAAAAACTCATCTTTACCTTAAAANAACAAAATCGTTTTAAAAGTTCATAAAAATATAACGATTGAATTCGGAAACGAATTAAAAGATTTGTTAGGATTTAAAGAAAGCAAATTTTCCGAAAGTGAATATGTGAGCGACTATCCCATCGAATTATCTGCCGGAATTTCAGAAATTTTTATTTATTCGAATATCGTTGCTTCTCATCATGTTGGGAATATAACCGCTCCACTTTTAAGGGTTATACCTGTAATAAGAAAAAAGGCAGATCAAATAGTTAGAGTCTACCAATCACCACTATATCTTCCGTTAAAACGTAATTATATCGATACAATTGAAATCGAGCTGAGAACTGCTAGTGGAAAAGAAATTGTCTTTTTTGGAAGAAAGACATTATTAGTTTTATCCTTTAAACAGATATAAATATTGGTATATTTTATTTACTAACGTCAGTTCGTCTTTGTGAAGTAGAAAATGGAGCTCGATCCGCGAGATTGTATAGATTATTACTGCAATCAAGCAGAAGGAACAATACTGAAACACGATTTTCAATTATTTACATGATAATTCGGAAGAGGGACTTATTTTGCTGGACCGCAAATACAGAGAGGATACGTATTTTTTGAAGATTTATTTCGTAAATCTATTCCTATTCTTAGTAAAGTAGAAGGGCATCTGGGGGGTAAAGCTTTAAAATTTGCATCGAATGTCAGATCAGATGTAATTGAAGGGAAGTCTTCTTAAGAATCTACAAAAAATCGTTTTAAAGATGTACAATCTGAAATTAAGGAAGACGTACTTAAAAAAGTGCAGACAGGATCGGGTATAAAAAGAAAACGACCGAAAAGAGTAACTCAGTCGCAAAAGAAGAAGAAGCGAAAACTTAACGATATTTTTGGTAATTAAGAAACAATGAACGTCCATTTGTGTGGCTGCACCAAATCCGAATTAGATTTATTTAATACTGTTTCCACACAATCGGCTATCGACAATAGTTATAAAGTGATTGCTCAACCTCTGACGAACATCAGCGATAGTAGAGCACCTATAGAGTTTCTTATATCAGGATCGAGTGAGCATTATATGGATCTACATTCGATTTATCTATGTGTTCAAGCGAAAATCTAAAGAAAGATGGATCAAACCTCTGCTCGGAAGAGAAATTTACTCCTGTTAATTATTTTTTAAATAGTTTTTTTCTCAATGTACTGTTTTTTTAAATGACAAGCCTGTAATTTCGCAGGTTAATTATTCCTACTGGGCTATATTAGATGCGTTGCTATTTAATTTGATAGAAGTGCAAGAAACTTTTTTAACGAGCGTGTTATTTTTTAAAGATACTGCTGGACAAATGGATTTGATAAATCCGTTAGATGAAAATAATACTAACTATGGTTTAGTTAAAAGATTTAACATCAGCAAAGAAAGTAGAATAATAGATTTAATGGGAGGTCTTCATATCGATTTAGCGAATCAGCCTAAGCTTTTAACAAACAATGTAGACCTAAGAATTAAATTGGAGAGATGTAAAGAAAATTTTGCGCTAATGGCAAATAACGACGACTATAGAATTATTATTAAAAACGCATTGCTGAAAACTAATAAAGTAGACGTTAGTTCGTCAATACAGATAGGAATTGAAAAAGCGCTCCAAAGCGGTATAATCAAATTATCCTTTTGTAGGACAGATGTTAAAGTCTTTACATTAACTAGCAGGATTCAGTCTACAAGTATATCAAACGTTGTTATCGGCCAACTACTGTATAGAATAACTCTCGGATTTGTTTCTAATTCTGCATTTAATGGAAATGTGAAGTGTAATCCTTTTAATTTTATAAATTATAATTTAAATTATATATGTTTATCAAAAGACAATGAAATGATTCCTTCTAAACCCTATACTTCGTATTATAGCAATAAAATTTATGCAAGAAATTTTATCTCATTCGAAGATACCGGATGTATTCATCATCATAAATCTATAAATATATACTACGACGAGTACCAAGACGGTTATACTTTATATTGTTTCGATCTTACACTCGATAAATCGGGCTCCGAATCCCACGTTAGCGTGAACCAGCTAGAAAATATCGGTATGAAATTAAAGTTTTTGAAGGCGATACCAGAAACCATAAACGTTGTTTGTTTGCTAGAACATAATAATATTTTAGAAATCGATCATTCACGAACCGTATTTGTCGATTATTAATGAATACCGTTACGTTGTAGAGATTAGCAGCGAGCAATTTGAAAATAAGAAAAAATTTCGGAAAAGTGTTTGCATCCGACGATCTACCATTTCGAGTTAGTAATAAATAATCTTTTATAATTAATTTAGATGAAAAAATAAGTTGGGAAGTCATTGGGTATCAATATTTTTTTTAAAAATGGAATAATACTGATGACAAGCTACGCTCTTAAATGATACTATTAAGGTATCATTTAAGAGTGTAGCTTGAGACCGAAGTAAATGAATAGTTTTTTTGTTTATCTGTTTTAAGTGGGAAACATCCGCATTTAGAAATTCTACATCTTCAGTGGTGGCGATTCTAAATAGAAATTTTAAAGCCTTACCTCCGAAATCAACCAGTACCCTCTTTTCTCGTAAGATATTAGGAAGTGTTACTAGGGCCTTCAATTCGTAGTATAGTTTCTGATAACGACAGAAAGATTATCTCAACACCGTAAAATTTTGAGTAGGTAAAATCCATCGAGTTTGATCTTTTGGCTTATTGGGCGTAACTTGTTCTCGTTGTAACATCATGTTTTCTAGGAAGGTAATAGCTTGAGTTAATAAACGTACCTGTCGCTCGAAAGAATCAATGTCATTTATAAAAGTCCAATGATTAGAAGTCATTAAGAAGTTTCCTTGATGGATAAAGATGGTTCCCTTTTTAAATTCTTGATCTTCTGGACAAGAAGAGCCTTGAATAGGGTACAAAAGAAGGAGGAGAAGTATGCTTGTAAGGTTTAACCATAACCGTCTAAGTCTCCGTTGATGGACTTTTAATGGTTCTTGTTTTTCCTAAGAATATAGAGGTTGTGATAAAATTTATTCAAAATTGTACCGCCTAGCTTACTAGTTAAAAAAATACCCCGGAGAAGAGGTTTTAGTTAGAGGCAGCGTACGACAGACGTAGTACCCTAGAGTGGGCAGTTCAGCCCCGTAGAATCGCCATGCAAAGGCAGTCCTTCCTCAAGACATTACCATAGGAAGGTAGTTCGCCAGAGCCTTGTCATAGAAAGGCAGTTCGGGGGAAAATTTGCCCTATCAAGAATTAAGAAAAATAATATCCTATAGTGTATGATACGTTATAGTTTATTTGAACTCTTAAAATACAGAGTAGTTGACTTGGACATGTCACAAAATTATTAGGTATTATACATGCTAATACTTGCATTAACTAAAAATATAATTAAAACTCTTATATTTATTATTTATTTTACATAGATAATTATCATATAAATCAACTTTTACACAAGTTAAATTGTACAACTTCCTAGTGAAGAAATGTATCTCCCCTTTTTTCCATTATTATTAAAGTGTAAAATTATGGATATTACATAATTTCTCCATTATTTAACAATTGGATTCCCTTGGGTTAGAGAATAATCTTGAAGGAAACGAAGAGCTGTCTTCCTCTTGATTAGATTCCTCCCCACTTGATGATCCTTCGTCAGAGGGATCCGGGGATTCAATAGGGAAAATGGGTGAAAGAGGACGAGGCGGAGGATTGACCCATATGCACGGAGCTATAAGATCTATAATAGGCCGGGGAGCTCCTCTAGCCTCAAACTGCTGTATGTAACCTACCCATTTCACCCAGTCTTGTTGACTTTTGAGTCTTAAATAATAAGCTGGGGAGGGTTGATATCCCTCTGGGATGACAGCCATGGTAAGTTTTGTAGGTCGATCCGACCGGTCATATTTTTGAATACTTCGGATCATAGTGTGGTAAGCTCTAGAGGCACATCTATTGGAAATGAAAGGAATAGAGGGTTCACGTTCACCTTCTTCCACGATGCTACCATGAGGTACCACCTGGTCCCGGTTTTCTGTAGACTCCTGTAAAATATAATTGAGTTCCAAATAACTAGTTGAACAACCACACACTAGTTTACATGAGACAAATCATGTAATTAAGGGTAAGGAAGCTCACGAAGAGTTCGGGACTCTACTGCCATGCATAGAAGAGGATGGAAAAAGCGCAGCTATCTATAGAGAATGGGATTCCTTTATTAGGTGTTTTATTAGAACCAGAATCCATATGACCGGAAGTGCATCAAGGATATTGTCATAGAGAGCAGGGAGGAATAGCAGAGTTGTCACCCAACTCTGCTGTTCCTCCCTCGGTTGAACAGATAGCTCCCAGCCTCGCGACAGGACTAGTCATGCATCCTCCATATTACGCCCCAGCATGTTTACTATTTCCCCGTGTTACTGTTAATTCCTATTAAAAGAAGGATTTTCCTAGTCTCATGTCAAGATGTCAAGAACAGCTCTGACAGTAATTGTCATTAGACGTTGCTTTGCTTTATACTTGAAGTGTTGTCGCTACGTTGATGAACATTACTGGTTGAAACAAGATAAAATAACGAAGGTATTGATATTGTATATTTGAGGTACAAATTATCAGTTTTTGAGCAAACAAATCCTTGTGGCTATTTCCATTTCATTTATTGGAGTATATCATGGCATCTATTCATACAGAACCATTAGTAAACTCAACTAACCATAGTCCAGCAAGTTCAGTAATGAAAAGTGCAGCAAATTCAGTTGTGAATCAGAATAATGTGAGAGATGTTATTAGTGATGATATGGGTTGGAAAGCCAAACTGAAAATTCCACCTCGAGATAAAAGAAAGAAAACAACAACACCCGTGGACATAAAAAAAATACTAGAAGATGATCCAACTATTTTTCAATATGATCATATTTATGATAATATGAAAAGGCAAAAAGAAGAAATTGTTAAGAAGGATAGAAAACCTAAATACATAAAATCACTAATGAAAGCTGCTGAGTTAAGGAAAAGAGAATATGAAAGAAGAATAGAGAGAAAAATTGAGAAAGAGAGGAAAAAAGAAAATAAATTTGAAGACGAGGTTTTTATTACGTCTTCCTACAAGAAAAAATTACTAGAAAAGCAACAAGAATGTAGACAAAAAGAATTAGAAGAGAATACGAGGAAAGCGGCGCTTCCAATGCTTCTAATGACGTCACGCCACTGGCATATTTAAAAGTAAACTCATCAGCATTTGTACGACGGCTCGCTACATAAATCGTCGTGACTTTTACAACAGATAACAGATTAAATTTAAGAACGTCTTTCTTGGAATTGTTCCTAAAAAGAAACAATTTGAAAACACCTGTTGGTTTTTGGCACATTACTTATACAGAAGAAGAAGGAAAAAAAACGCGAATACCTGTCCTAAAACAGATGATTCTAGTGGAAATAGCATCACTAAACCACTCATTAGATATCTTTTCTATGATTTTGAATTATTTATTTAATTTATTATCGCAATTTACATTACTCTTGCACTTCATTCTTTGTTACAGTTGATGTAACTGATAAAGAAGCAATAAATTGTATTTCGCTAATTTTTTATTTTTTTATAGAATAGAATTACGGTCATATAAAAGTCGCATCTCCGTATCCAGTTTCCCGAAATCCACAAATGTGATACTCCGGAAAGACTCTTAAATTGAACTACATAAATTTCACTTAAATAAATTTAATTAAATAATTTACTTTAATTTTCCACAAATTAAATTGCAAGGGATAAATCGATTTTATTATAGGTACAGTCATGATTATTATGATACCAAGAAAGAGGCCGACGCCCGCATTATCGGTAGAATCAGGATGGAGAAAGCCATAATTTCCAAACATGAACCCTTGAAGGAAGAATTACCATCCCAAAATCCGTGTGAGATTTTCTATAGAACCTTTAACTTAGGGAGAAATACCCTGATATGAATCCTTGGAGAAGTTCCTTATAAGGAAGAGGCAAGAGGAATACACTAGAAAATCGTTATTCTATCTTGACACTACCTGGTCAATGACACAACATCTCTGGGCAAAAAGAAGACCTGTGAAGAGAAACAAAATGAATCCAAAAAATATAGTCCGGACATATTCTGATATACATTTGATACATTTATACATTTGATATTCTTTGCCCTTTACTCTCATCTACGGGATAGCCTATAAAAGGATACATCAAGGACCCATCTTGAAAGTAGAAGGGGGTGTGATTTTCCACCACTTTTGTTCAGAAAGAAAACCCAAGAAGACAAGAGAGAAAACATAACACGGAACATGGAATCAGGAGAAGTCGAATCGGAATCTGGCCGGCACAATAGCGAGTCTATAGTACATAAGACCTTGGAAAAGCTAGGATGAGAGCCATTATTTTAATAACACGACAATAATCAGAGATATTTAAGTTTAGTTAATTTCAAAAGGAGAGAGAGAGCCATGTGTTATTTCCTTCCGATGTAACTACTAGAGATACTGCCGCCACGTTTTAATTTTTATTATTATATTAAAAAGGAAGATTTATAACCTAAGGAGAGGAAAATCTGCTAGTCGATGAGTAACTGGCATTACCCAGATGAATTCTTCGACCGGTCCTTCACTTCTGAGAGCATAAGGGTGAGTCGGTCCTTCCTCGGTATCCTCTTCCTCTTCAGATATTTCTGTTTCCCCCTCTCCATCACTTTTTTCCTCGAGTGCAGGTGGTGGGTGAGGAAGTAGAAATGCATTTAATATAAACTCATCCCATGGATCAATAATTAATGGTGGGTCTTTTTCAGAGGCGGATGATATAACTTCCTTTGGTAGAGTAAGTTCTGACTGTTCTATAGGCAAGTTGACTTCTTCTCTCGCTACTGAGGGTTTTATTCTGTTTGCATGTACATGTAATTTTCTTTTGGTTTTTATATTTTCTATTTCATAATTTACAGGGCTTAAAATGGCAATAATTCCATAAGGTCCTGGCCATCGAGTAGCTAACTTCCTTTTTATTCCTCTTGGAACTACTACTCCCTTTAGTAACACTATGTCCCCTACTTGATAACGAAATGGTTTGTTCTGCTTCCTTTGTCGTTCCTGTGTTGACTTTGCAGCTAGTTCAGAATATTCCTGTGCCTTTTGATGTGTCTCCTTCATTCTCAGTCTTAATTCACTCGCAAAATTATCT